GGGGCTGCCCCTTCCAGACCCTCCACCCACACAGCCTGTTAGACCTGATGTTACCTATGTTGCATATGCATTTTCCAAGCATTTCTTAGCTACCTCAATTAATGTTGGAGTGCCCAGCTCTTAGCAGCCTCCCAGATCTCTCATTTATCTTTATGCCAAGGTTACATCTGTAACTTTTATTATATATAGGCACATAAAAATCCAATGTATTATTTTGCTTATTTTGTAACTGAACACAGTTCTAGAAAAAAGCAGCTCTTCTGCCATGCCTTGCCATGCCTTGTTTGCCTTGTCTTGCCTTGACTTGCTGTGCCTTGCCTTGCTGTTCCGTTCCGTGCCTTGACTTGCTGTGCCTTGCTGTGCCTCACTTTGCCGTTCCATGCCTTGCCTTGCCATGCCTTGCTGTGTCTTGCCATGCCTTGCCTTGTCTTGCCATGCCTTGCTGTGCCTTGCCTCACCTTGCCTCGCCTTGCCCTGACGTGCTTTGCTGTGCCGCGCCTTGCCGTGCCTTGCCTTGCCTTGTCGTGCCTTGCTGTGCCTTGCCTTGCCTTGTCGTGCCTTGCCGTGCCTTGCCTTGCCGTGCCATGCCTTGCTGTGCCGTGACTTGTCGTGCTGTGACTTCCTGTGCCTTGCCTTGCCTTGTCTTGCCTTGCCGTACCGTGCCTTGCCGTGTCGTGCCTTGCTGTGCCTTGCCTTGCCTCGTCTTGCCTTGCCTTGTCTTACCTTGCCATGCCACGCCTTGCCGTACCGTGCCTTGCCGTGTCGTGCCTTGCTGTGCCTTGCCTTGCCTCGTCTTGCCTTGCCTTGTCTTACCTTGCCATGCCACGCCTTGCCGTACCGTGCCTTGCCGTGTCGTGACTTGCTGTGCCTTGCCTTTCTGTACCTTTCATTGCTGTGTCTTTCTGTGCCTTGCCTTGCCTTGCCGTGCCTCGCTGTGCCTCACCTTGCCTTGTCTTGCCGTGCCATATCGTGCCTTGCCCTGCTGCACCTTGCCGTGCCATGACTTGCCGTGCCGTGACTTGCCGTGCTGTGACTTGCCGTGCCGTGACTTACCTTTCTGAGCCTTCCATTGCTGTGCCTTGCCTCATCTTGCTTCTCCTTGCTGTGATTTGCTGTGCTGTGCCTCACGTTGCTGTGCCTTGCCTCGCCTTGTTGTGCCTTGCCGTGCCTTGCCTTGCCATTCCGTGCCTTGCCGTGCCGTGCGTTTCCCTTTCCCCCTTCCCCATAAACGCTGCCCTGTCACTGCTGCTCCCGAATCACCCCAACACAACAGCCAACTCCCTCACACCAAGCAAGTACCTGAAGCGTAAAACTCCCCTGCTTGAACCTCATCAGAACAGAGGAGACCCCTCAGCACTGCGCCGGGGGGCACCGCTCCCCGCTGCGGGGGGACTGTGCTGCTCCGGGGAGTGAACCAACGCCCAGGCAGAGCGATGCCGTCCGGCACGGAGCGGTGTTTACGTCAGGCATGGAGATTTTTGGGGGATGCTGTCCCCTCAGGGTGACAGCCCAGGAGGGAGCGGCAGGGGAATCCCTCCCCGGCTCTGCCTCCCGTTAGCCCGGCGGGCGCAGGACCAGCCCACCCGCCCTTTGGGCTGCGCTGGCCAAACTCCTCTCCGCAGTGGGTCACTCTGGCTTCCCTCGGTGCCCTCATATTTTGGGGTTACTGATTGCATTTTCTGTGGTCACTTGGTTTTCTGGGGATTGCTTTATAAATGCTCTTGCCATACTTTCTGGTTTTGCAGCTCCGTGTCTTTCCAGCTCTCCTCTCACACTTGAATGACTTACGTATTTTTCCAGGATACTCCATCCCAAAATAATACCTAAATTTACATAGCATCTCCCATCCAGCAGCCCCAGACCCTCCAGGCCTGCACAGGGTTGACCCCTCCATCCATTGGAAGTACAAGTGGGAGGAAGGAGCTGGGATAAGGGTAGCGGGCTGAAGTGGATGGGAAAATACGGATGGGTGCTGAGGGCTGGGAAGGGTGGGCACTCATTTTCCGCTCTATCTACTTCCAATGCTTTTTTACAGCAGGCAGAGAGAGGTAGCTCTTGAAGCGTGAGGTGTCAGGGATGCAGAGTCCGAGAAGGGCACCCGAGTGGGGCAGCAGCTGGAGTTTGAGCTCCGATTACACGGAATCCAGACAATGATGCTGTCAGGAGAAAGAGCCTGGAGCATCTCCCAGCTTGGGTTTTACTGGCACACCGCTTGCTGCTGGAGCCTCCAGAAGCCCCTCCTGTCATTCCTGTTATCCTGTTATTTGCTGTCTTCTTTGCAAAAGGCATTTGTGCAATGTTGTGGTTGTGGCATGGATCATCCAGAGCTCTGTCCCTACAGCGCTGCAGGGAAACCGAAGCGGAGGGAGGATTAAAGTGCAAACTCAGACAGAACAAGCCAACACCCCAAGTGCTAATTCCCCAAGCTATCCCAAAGGGGTGGCTTCCAACAGGAAGATAATACCAAGCATGACCAGAGGGAATGTGTCTTGGATGCAGGAATGTGTGGATTGGTGCTGGGGTTCCTGGGCCTCCCTCTTCCAGGGGATGCTTGGCGCGCTTCAGGGGTTGCTGTTAAGACATGCTGAACCCTAGCACCTCAGGATTGAGGTGACCCAGAGCCGGAAGCAGCTGGAAAACAGCTCCAGTGGGGTGCCCAGCTGCTGAACAGGGTTTTGTAGGAGCTGGTGGGGGAGGCTTCCCCAAAAAACCCCACTCTGGCAGTGGAGCTGGGCAGCTGCAGCCCCGGGGCTGTGTGTGGGGCTCAGCACCACTGCAGGGTGAGCTCAGTGTCTGTTTGGAAGGACCCCAAGGGATGCAAGAATCTGCTCCCGGTCAGCCTGGCTCCCTCCAGTGGGAAGAGCTGGGGAGCTCCTCTGTGCCCCTCACCTGGCCTCGCTGCATCACAGCCGCCTCCCCCGACCCACACATACCTGCACGCACACACGTGTGTGACTTCTGCATGTTTGCTCTCCCCAAAGGCACGCTCACCCCTGCCTTTGCTTGGAGACTTTTATTTCCCTGCTCACACATGCTCCATCCTTCCCCTGACCCCAAACAAAGGGAGGAGGGGAACATTTCCCAATCCCCCTCCCATGGGGAGCATAGGATCATGGAATGGTTTGAGTTGGAAGGGACCTCAAAGCCCATTCTGTCCCAACCCCCCAGCCATGGGCAGGGCCACCTTCCACTAGACCAGGTTGCTCCAAGCGTCATCCAGCCTGGCCTTGGACACTTCCAGGGATGGGGCATCCACAGCTTCTCTGGGCAACCTGTCCCAGTGCCTCCCCACCCTCTGTGGGAAGAATGTCATAGCCTGCCTTTTTCTCTCTTTTTGCCTGTATTTGACCTGCATGTCTCCCTCATGAAAGCTGGACAACCTTCCTCTCCCTTGGGCTTGCTGGCTTGGCTGTCCTGTCAGCCTATTCCGGGGTTATATATTTTGCTTGCAAAGGGAATTAGTGAAATTGCTTTAACTACTGCTCCGAGAATGATGGACTTTATGGGTAGGCTTTTCCGTGCTGGTGAGGTGCTGGGAGGAGGGATGTGAACTGGTGGCCCTTGGGCTACTTTTGCTGTCATGTCCTGTTCCCTCCCAGCACGGAATGGATCAGGAGCTGGATCCTCTCTGCCCTTCTGGGGCAGAAGAGCCTGCGGGTCCCTCCATGGGGAAGGCAAAACTCCCACTGGACACCCATGTGGATAACACCCTGGAGGGTATACATTCCGCGGGGACCCCTGGCCGCAGAGGGGGTCCTGGCATGCCCAACCTTGCCTTGTTTTCTCTTGCAGGGGGGAGTTACAGATGACAGGAGCGATGATGGCAAATCCCTCTCCACCCTCAGTTTCGGTGTCAACAGACCCACCATCTCCTGCATTTTTGACAGTAAGGCCCAGGGGTGGGGGGAGAGGGTGCAGCTCCCCTGCAGTGAGTCCTGACATGGGGACTCTGCTTTGGGGACCCCATAGCTGAGCATTTCCCATCCTCTTCCTCTCACCCACCTCAAGTGTAGGCGGATGGAAAGAGGGGGGTGGGTCTCCCTGGGAATATCACTGAGCTCAGGGCTCGGTGCTCTCTTGGGAAGCCAGGATTAAGCTGCCTTCAGACACAGGTCTTGGTCCCCTGTGCCCATCCCTGGACTCGTCTTTTAGCTGTTTCTCATTCCCTTATGCAGGTGGGAACAGGTACCACCTCCGCTGCTACCTGTACCAAGCACGGGATCTGATCGCCATGGATAAGGACAGCTTTTCGGGTAAGCCCAGATGCTCACCTCCCCTTCTTTGTGCTTGTAGTTAGCCCTGGGGACCAGTGGGGTCTGTAAAGCAAATTTTGGGGTGTTTATTGATGTGAAATGAGGGGTGTTCAGCAGCCAAACAACAAAAGACAGCGGCATAAGGCTTTCCCAAGGCAACCAGCCTGGCAGCTTGATTTCCCATCAGCAAAAATATCAGTGTTTCAAGAACTCGTATGTGAGAAACCAACCAGAAACCACAAGTTACCCGGGTCAGCCGTGAGTCAGAGCTGTTTGCTTTGCTAATAACTCCTTCTCCCCGACCCGAGGTGATGCTGAAAGCCGGTGGCAAGGCTGGGTAGCAGACAGCTCAGGGGCATGACAAATAAAAACAGAGCGGAGGGCAGGGATGTTTACCGTGGCACATCGCCTCGAGCCGTCCCCCCACCACAGCGTGCGAGCTGTGGGCTTGCAGGCAGGACCGAGGGCTCGGGGCTGGTGTCGAGATGATGGAATCTGGGACAGAAACCTCCATGAGGTGTGCTCAGACAAATTAAAAAGGATACAAGGGGGTAATCGGGACCTTGGAGCACAGAGGCCACTTCGTCTGAGTCCTCGCCAAGTTTCTGCTTGGATTTATTCACCCTCAGCAACCAGCTTGCTCCCAGCTGGGTGAATCCTGGACAGACTCTTGCCCGCCCTTGCACCAGCCTCCTGGGTTTGGGTTTGTGGAGGGCATTTGTCCTGTGGTTTGGGGAAGGGATCGAGGCTGAAGAAGGGAGACTCCATTTGTTAGGAATGGAAGAATTGATTGAAAATATGGTTGGAAAGGAAAACACTTAAGAGTGACAAACCCTTAAAATGGTTCGTATTTGTTTTCCTGCCAAACATTAAGTTAGAATCATGGAATGGTTTGGGTTGAAGGCACCTTAAAGCCCCCCCAGTCCCACCCCCTGCCATGGGCAGGGATACCTTCCACTAGACCAGGTTGCTCCAAGCCTCATCCAGCCTGGCCTTGGACACTTCCAGGGATGGGGCATCCACAGCTTCTCTGGGCAACCTGTCCCAGTGCCTCCGCACCCTCTGCGGGAAGAATTCCTTCCTGATGTCCCATCTCAATCTCCCTCTTCCAGTTTAAACGCATTAGCCCTTGTCCTGTCACTCCCTGCCCTTGGGAAAAGTCCCCCCCGCTGCCTTTGCCCATGCTCGTTAATGCTTTGGAGCGTCACGCCGAGGTGGGAAAGCAGGACACTGGGGACATTGCCGTTTAGCTCTGACTCCGAGCTGGGGCAATGCGAAAAGCCCTCCATGCGTTCAGTGCCCAGTGGCAGTGGCCACATCCGAGATGCGAGCAGGCCCCCAGGCAGGTATCCCTGGAGCACCCGCACGCCTCTGCAGGCAGGATGCATCCAGCATCCCTCCAAAGCTGTCACTGTCTGCCATGGGGATTTGCAGAGGGGCTGGGTGTGGGATTGCCCACCGGTGTTGGCATGGGAGTGAAGGATCTCGGGTGGGCTATGGGGACAGACCCCAAAAGCGCGGAGGCTTGCGGTGGGGATGAGGGTGCAGGGATAGCTGGGCATCAACATGCTGGGCAGCAGGACCACAGTCCTGCGGGGCTTCTGCTCCCCCTGATATTTTGAAGCTGAGGGGCTTGGGGTGTGGGCAGAAAAGCCCTGGAGAGGTGCAGAGCACCCAAACAATCCCCCAGTGTCTGCACCCACCAAGGTCCCGTCTCCCCTCCGCCTCCACAAAGGGTTTGTTGTTCCGAGTGGTGGGGACCGAGGTGATCTCATGGCCCCGATCGGCGGAGCGGGGAGGGGGAGTCCCTTCCTTCGGAAAAACCTGGCCAAGGACAACATGAGTAACAACATGCCACAATGTGGAATTGTGATCTCCGCTGCCTTAACAAAGCATAAAGGAGTTCATTAAGGGGGCTTTACACAGTTATAAAAATAAACCTTCTGTGCGCACGAGGGTCTAAACAAAGGGGCTTTATGGAGACCTCCTTTAAAAAGAAGAAGAGGGGGGGGAAAAAAAAAAAGAGCAAGAAAGCAAATCCAAATCCATGGTTTTTTTGTTTATTGTAACGCATTCTGCTTTCCTCTTACTGGAAAAAAGCGCGTAAGTGGAAAAGGTTCTTCCCAGCGTGAATAGTGCTCTCTCCAGCCGGCCACCTCGCAAACAGCCCCGGCTCATTAAACACGTCTGCTGTGGCGCGGACGCCAAGGAGGAAAATGCACTCCCCTTGACCATCCCCCCTCTCGTCTCTGGAAGAAGGGAGGGAGCGTGGGGGGTGCTGCCCTGCTCGGCTGGCCCCGCGTTCAGGTGTCTGGGGGATGCTCCTCCATCTGCAGGGCAGGCGGGACGGCGTTTGCCCCCAGCCTAAGCTGACAGTGACCTGGTGTCGGGGTGTGCGGGCTGTTTTGTTGGAGGGAGGGTGGGAGGAGGACCTCTGTTGGGACTGTGGGGGTTTGTGCAGTGCTGAGCACCGAGGGTCGCATTTGCAGGGTCTGCCATCCTCCTGGCCGATCGTGGGTGTCTCGGGACTGGCTTTGGGGTGACCCAGGTGGTACCCCACTGCGTGCTGTAGACCCCCCATACACCATCTGGTGCATCTGTGTCTTGTGGTGGCTCATCACGCTGGGTGCCAGGCCGAGGAGGTGGCCTGTGTCCTTCCAAACAGCCCCATGACATCTCCTGCCATGGTGGAGGTTGGGCTTTTCTGGTACCCGTTGCTCAGGGGTCCACCTGGGACTTGTCGGGTGGGATGCAGCAAGCATGGAGGTCTCACCCCTGACAAGGGCTGGTTAGGGAGGGCATTCAGTCCCCAAGGGGTCCTAGAGTGTGATCCCATGGCATATTTCAAGCATCTCACCAAGAATTGGTCCTGGTTCTGCTGCTTGTCCTGTCCCCATGCCCAGTGGGACCACCAGGGCAGGATGGATGCCCACAGCAGGTTTGGGCCACATGTTCTTTGAAGCTGTCTGGAAGGGAAGGGGTAGAAACGGGCTCAGGTTTCATGTTCCTGTTGTTAATTGATCTCAGGCTTCCTGTGTTAATTGCTTAGAGGCTGCTCCTCACTGTTCAGTGCTGCCTCGCAATGCCTCTGTGCGGTGCTGCCTCTGGCTTTGTCCCAGGTTAGGGGTGAGACACCTTGGTCCCAGCTCAGTGCCTGTGCCCAGGGGTCTGATGGGACCCTGGAGTACCTGAGACATCTGCATGGGGCTGGCAGATGTGACGCAGCAGCCCTAAGGGAGACCCAGAGCCATCTGGTAAGGCAGCTGGAGACCAGGTGGGATAGCCTGGAGTGCTGGGAACCCAAAACCCTCCCAAGGCATGGAGGTTACCAAAGCTCATGCCAAAGGGGCTGAGATGTTGACTCTGGCTGCTTCCTGGCTGCATCCTCAGCTTCTGTCTCTTCTGGAGATGTTAAAGACCCCAGGGAGGAGGCAATGACGTTCCAGCCACCGCCTCCGTGGTCTGGTCTTCGCACTTGAAGTCACTGCTTGCCCACTCGTGCAGTGCTGACACCTCCTGCATCTCCCTGGGAAAGACTGTTGGCATCGTGGAAACAGTTCCTGCTCTCTGCTGTGCTGGAAGGTGGCTGCGTTACCACCACTGAAACGCTTATCCTTGGAGAGTCATCTTTCCGGAGAAAACCCCACCCCTTAGGGCAATAGGTGAACCATTTCTGCTGCCCCACTGCTGTTGTCAGGGTGAGAAGTCATGGGGATGACCTGGACAGATTGGGTCAGACAGCAAGGAAATCCCTAATCCTACAGCAGGGGAGTGCTGGGAGATTTGGCTGGGGAAGGTGACAGTGCCTCCACCACCTGGAGCTATCAGAAGCCAGATGATAAAGGTTGTTCTGGTTAACATGGTCTCCTTGGATGTCCAAAAGGTTTTTGGCAAAAAATTCCTTCATCGAAGGTTTTTAAGGAAAGGAGGCTGCTGTGGGATAAGAAGGAAGGTCTTTGCATAGATAGACAGCTCAGTTGTGTGGACCATTGTGGTTGTCTTGTCCCAAGAAAAGCTGGAATGAGCAGGGGTCAGGGTTGGTCCTTTATGACGAATAACTAAGTAGGCTGAGACTCTTCACCTTGAAAGAGAGATGTTCCAGGGTTGGTGTTACAGAAACCTAGAGACCCCCGGTGTCAGGGCAGGTGGGCAGGGGTGGACCCCTCCTTCTCTCCTAATGCAAGAACTTGGGAGGCTCAGGTGGAGATAGAGGGAGCTGGGCACGGCAAAAAACCATGAGAGGACGGTTCTTCACACAGTTTGGAGCCCTCACCGAGGATGTGTTGGGTTCAGGAGGAACAGGGCAAGTCTGGGGAAGACACCACCTTTGCAGAGTTGCTAAACGTACAGATGTCACAGCTTGGGAAGTACCTGAGCTGTGGAAAACTGGTGTATAGGGATGTCGGAGACCTTGGCTTCACTCTTCTCAGTTGGAGTTGCCTGGGACGTGATGGGAACGTCACTGCTGTTTTTAAAGGACCCCCAGCTCATTCAGCCTGTTCAGTCTTCCCTGCACAACCCGTTGACCCATGAGTGACTACGAACTGCTTTCTCCTTTCCAGGCCGGTAGCTCTAACTCATCCTTTGCCTCTTGTCTAACATCCCTTGCAGATCCTTACGCCATTGTCTCCTTCCTCCACCAAAGCCAGAAGACTGTGGTGATCAAGAACACCCTGAACCCTACCTGGGACCAAACCCTCATCTTCTATGAGATAGAGATCTTTGGGGACCCCCAGAACGTGTCTGACTCCCCTCCCAACATCGTGGTGGAAATCTATGACCACGACACCTACGTAAGTGTGTTGATGAGAGCTGGACCTTCGTGGTGTGAGTGGGCTGGGGTGGACGGGACAAACCCATGGTGCCCTTCCTGGCTTCTGGAGTGCAATGCTGTCACGTCTCTGGGCGGCTCAGATATTGGGCTGGACACTCAGAAGACAAAAATTCAGCAAACAGGGATGTCCTTGGTGGCCTTGGACATCACCAAAGCTGCATCTACATCATGTTTTGCAGAGAGGCCAAATTAACTCTATTTCCTTGCGGAAAAAGCTTGGGACAAGATTTAAAGCAATCAAGCAAGTAGGGATGACATTTGGGGGGCTGGTGAGATAACCTGGAGTCCTTCCTAGAAAAACTGGGCTGAAGCCCATCACGAGAACAGAAGGGGTTCCAGACTGTGTGTAAAAGCAGTGCAGAGGTGAAAAACACTTAGAATACATCTTGGGAACGTCTCAGGATCCTCTCAGGAGCCCTTCTGGCCTCCCTCCTCCAAAAGACACCGGCAGGAAGCAGCAAAGGCACCTGAAGATCCCGTTGCAGACCAGTGAACGGGCTTTTTAAGAGCTGCAGGTACTTAATGCTGTACTTGAAGCTCCTGCTCTGGAAATTGTGCGATACCATAGGAATTTCACCTCCTGTTTGAGCCAAAATGTGTAAGGAAGGGTGCATTTCCATCCCTAGTAGTTACAGGGAGGAGTTTGGAAACTTGAGCCTATAAGGGCATCAAAACCATATTTTTTCTGGACTGGTCCCATAGAGGTTCAGACATTGTGCCTGATTTTGAGTGGCAGGGTCTTGGCTGTGGTGTGAGTTCGTGGTGATGGACTTCACCGGGAACTGTGGTGGGAAGAAAGCTCCCCGTGCCTGTGATTGCCTTTCAGGGAGCAGATGAGTTCATGGGGCGCTGCATTTGCAAGCCCAGCCTGGCACGCTCACCACGGCTCTCCTGGCACCCGGTCATCAAGGCGAACAGAAACGTCGGGGAGCTGCTGGCTGCCTTTGAGCTGATTCAGAGGGAGAAGGTGAGCTCCCCATCCAGAACTGGAATCCTAGCTTCTTCCCTTGGAGTCTCCGCACCTAGCGGGATCCAACCTTTGCTCGGCGCTGAGTTATATCCACCTGAGCTCAACACCTCTGCAGCTGCCTGTCCTCTGTTTCGCCAGGATGGATGCTCCCAGTAGACCCGGGCATGATGCTGAGGGCTGGCTGTGCTGCTGCAGCATGGCAGAAGGAGTTTAGGGGTCAGACAGGGAGAGGCTCGGTGCTGCACCAAAGCCTGGGCTGCTGGGAGGCACCGCTTGTGCCCTGCCAGCCTGGCTGGCTGTGGTGCTGAGCTCCAAGCCTCTGCACCTTTGCCCTGCGGGAGGAGCTTGGTGGATTTGGCCCTAGACTGCTGCCCTTTGCTCAGAGTTAATTTCCGGAGGGGGTTTACGAGAGCTGAAGTGGGCGGTTGCTCCTGCAGGAAGGTGCCGCACTCAGCGCTGACGGGGCATGTAATGAGCCGTGGGGGAAGGAGGCTGCATTTCAGAGCCAGCCCGGGTGGGAGAAACCCCTCGCCATGCCTCAGTGTGCTCTCATGTGATTTCCCACCCTCCCCATCCCCCTGCACGCACCACTCCCTCGCTGCTCTCCACTCTGGCTTTCCCACTGCCGTGGCGCCTGGCTGCAGCCCAGATGTGCCTGTATGCCAGGGAAAGTGTGTGGCCTGGAAGGTGGAATCTGCCAGCCCCGCTCCTCCCTCCCAGCCCTGAGGTGCTAATTGGGAATGAGGGTCCCACAGCTCCCTCCTCCCTCTCTCCGATGTAGGTCCCAGCTTCGGAGGGATGCTGCGCGCTGGGCACGATGCTGCTGCAGCTGCTGGAGGGGGATGCCCTGGGTACAAACCTTGCTGCACAGTGAGGGGCTGCTGGGTGGGGGTCCGAGGGCTGGGAGGAGCACCAAGTCTCCTTCTTCTTCCTCCTCAACCCCCTCAGAAGTTACTGAATTGGGTGGAGAAGACCTTGGAGAGGACTCCCCTCTCCAAGGACCTTGTTTGCTCCTAACAAAAAGCAGCTGGGTGGAGTTGAGGGTCTGCTGATGCCCTCATGCCCAGGCTTTTTGGGGCATTGGGCATGGAGGGGGGCAGCGCATGGCAGTGGGGGAGGGTTGGTGCTTCTCTGCCAGATAAAGCTGAGTCGGCCCCAGGAGTGCAAACGGAACGTGTGTGTCTTTTTTTTCTCCACAGCCGGCTGTCCATCACATCCCTGGCTTTGAGGTAATGCCTTTCTCCTCTTTGCAGCTCCTAGGCCCTGCATCCCCTTTACCTGCCCCTTCCCCTGTCCCTGCAGAGCTGCTGGCTCCCAGCACCATCAGCTGTTCCCGCAGAGGTTTGCAGGGGGTCCTCTTTGCAGCCTGGGAAATTTGTCCATCCTGTCTTAGTTTAGGATGAAGGAATCCCCTGTAGTGATGCCAGTTTCCTTCAGCTGATGGTGAAGAGCTGGAGTGAGTGGAACAGCTCGCTTTTGACCCATAAGGCAGGGCAAATGCATCCTGATCCAGATAGAACTCCTCAGCTGTCAAATACACCATTACCTTCCTCCCCTTCAGCATTCCCATTGCGAAGGGCTGTGCTTCCCGACAGCTCCAGTGGGTTTCCAGCCCGTCTGAGCAAAGGCATTAACTGATGCTGGATTTTAGAGGGTCTGAATTGACCAACACTGATTTCTTCTGAAGCTTGGAGGTGGTGGTGTGCAGAAACTTGGAAAGCATCCTTTTTCTATTCATTTATCAGCTACAATTATAATCCTTAGGATGAGCTTATAGTCAGGAATTGCTCTAACTCTGTACTCTCCTTCTCTCCTCCAGAGTGAGCTGTCCTCCAGCCTGGATGAGGTAAGTCGATAAGATTTAGTGTCTTTCTGTCTTGGAGATTGTTAAAATTGTGTCTCCACGGGGCAGCCACTTCTTTTCAGATGAGTCAGGTCAATAGGATCAGGGTCTTGGTAACATGAGCGATCACCAGCAGGACAGGGTAGATGTGCTCCGTGTGTAACGCAGGAAGTGTTGCCGATGGCAGGGTGTCTTGGGTAATGTTCAACTTCTGTGGGATGTGTGTGTGCATGAGGTCTGCTGGTGTTCAACCCTTCCAAACAAAGCATGTCGAAGCCAAAATTCCGGGCTGGCCTTAGGCTGGAACCCAGTTGAAATCCCCCTTGGAATTTTTGCAACTTTTCACAGGGAATTTGCCATGAACTGGGGCACGTGCTGGACCGTCCCAGTTGCTCTGAAGGAAATACTCTCATCAGGCTCCCAAACTGCTGTCAGAGCTGCTCCCCAGACCTTGTGCCTCCTACAGAGCAGATCGTGGGCCGAACCGAGCGGTGCCAGGGCAGGCTGGTGTCTTGGACAAGACAAGGCAGGGACCTGCACGAGGGGCCCGTCTGTTCGAGTGTTGTGGTGGCCCTAGGAGCCAGTTAACCCCAAAGCCTGGGAGATGAGCTAGGAGGGTCCTGGGGCACGCCAAGAGCCTGGCCACATTTCCATGAAAGGTTGGATGGGATAAACACTCAGTCAGCCTTTCCTTATGGTGCAGGGCTCATCTTTGTGCTCCATGTGGGCTGAGATGGATGAGCTCGTGTAAACGTAACCGTCTCTCTGCTCTTTCTTCTCCATTTCTTGCCACTGCCATTTCTGGACGGGGCACGCCACAGCTCTGCACCCCGGCCTTGTTCTACGAGGGGCTCCTCCAATGGGTACCTTTTACGCTCAAACACTTGACCCTCCTCTGTTCCTCTGCCTTTGCCCAGAAACCAAAGAAAGTCCTGACAGAGACCAGCTCCTTCAGACATGGCTTGGCCTGACCCACCTGCCCCACAGGAACCCCATCCAGGCCAACCCACTGAGGCTGCGTCCCAGAGTGACGCCAGCCCGAGGTCTCCAGTGCCCTTCGCAGTAAATAACGAGCCTTAGGGAGGGTCTGGCTCATACATGCATTGTTCAGGCTCATGAGGTACCTGGATGACCAGGATGGCACCAGGCTTCCTTCTGCTGCCTTTCTGGTGCAAATGGGAGTAGACTTTGGGGTTAGATCCCCTCCCAACCACTGGGATTTAAGCCTCTCCTGAAAAAACATGGCCCAGCTGTGCACTCAGACTGGGAGACGTTTCCAGCTCCTGTTTTGACTGGGCTGACCTGTGTTGCCTTTCACTCACCCCTCTTCCAACCCCAAACCAAAGTCAGGGTTGGACTGGACGGTCTCCAGAGCTCCATCCACCCTGATTCCCTCTGACTTTTCCTTGTTCAAGCCATCCCAGCTGCCAGCAGACCACACAAGTCTTTTTGTGGATATCTTCTCCATCCAGCCCGCTGCGTCTGGGTTGAGAGCTGTGTCTGGGAGCTGCTTATTCCCCACTACCACCTTGAACCCTCCCTGATCCTGCCTTGTCCCCAGGACTCACTGCTCATTTCTGTCCCATCCGCTGAAACATTTAGTGCTCGTGCATCAGCTGAGACCCAGGAGAACCACTGCAAGACAACCAGGAGAGCATGGGGAGTAGAGGGACTTAGAAATCGCTAGTGCTAACTGAAGACACTGCAGTTGGCTTCCAAAGCCACTCTTGAAGCAGGGGGAAGGCAGGAGCTCTTTCCCCAAGGCTTTCCCCTTTTCCCATACAAATGTGCCAGAAGATGGAAGGATGGAAATGATCTTTAGTCCAATGATGATAAAGAAATGCAACGTGTTATATTTGCATGCAGGTGCCATGCTAGGGAAGAAAACTCCACCTTGGGAACAGACTGTAGCCATCTCGCAGGAGGTGTGCGGAGGTTGAGCCTGCCTTGGGGTTTAGGGGGGGCTAGGTGACTTCTGTACCTCTGTTATGCAACTGAAATGCAACTTAAAGACATTTAAGACAGAATAATTAAGACTGCATTTAAAGACAGAAATGAACTATGTCACCATACAAGGACAGAATGAGGCGCTTCTTGGTTCAGCCCATGCTTAGACACCTTGAAGTGCTCCAAGTGCTATGGGGGACAAACAAAAGCTGGGGAGAGCTCTTCAAGGGCCATTTGGTCTATTTTTCTGCCCCAAGGAAGGATCACCTCATGCTGGTGGTGCAATGTCTGAGCAGCACCAAATTAAGGCTCTGGGTAAGTAGGTGGGTTACCAGAAGCGCTGAGCACCCAAGCGATGCGGGGGATGCTCCGCACCTCTCCCTTCTCCTTAGGCACTTGCCTCCCAGATAACCGTCCCTTTCCATGATAGCACTAAGCGTTTCTTGACCATGGGAGGGAGGACGGCCTGCCCCAGATTTACCGTCTGCCCTGTGCGGGACCCCAGACATCTGCCCCGAAATGGGGTTACCAAAAGTCTTCAGCTAACAAGCAGTGTGACTCACCAGCCACCAGCAACTGCCAATGAAAATGAAAGCTTAGCGTCGGGTATATCTAACATGCCACCGTGAAAAATCCCTTTGTAGAGCATTTATATACACACACATATAAACCTGAACCAATCCTATAATTGAAATACATATACACACTTAATTTAATGCAATACTACTCCCGCCTGAAAAGAATGCCGGTCTCCTAAATTGGTTCCAACTGCCCTTGGTTGAGGGTTGCGTTTTTAGAGGTTTTTGCTTTCATTCCTGCATTTTCGGTGACTCTGAACTCGAAGATGCAGGTCAAGAAGGACTCGAATGCTGGGAGGGCTCAGAGCCCATCCTCTGCAAGTGGACGGGGAAGTCTGGCTCCCTGCTTTCCTCCTCTGTGAAGGCAAATTTTGAATCCCTCCCCTGCCATCCAGATTTGGTCTCACCCTGAAGGAAATCTGTGCATAGACAGATTTATCTGAGCCCTGTCCTGTGGCTGGCAGCGTGGCAGCTGCCAGTTAAGGTTTATAGCTCAGCTCTTGTATGAGGAACAGCCCCTTCCTGCATCCAGAGGCAAGGCTGACCCTCTGACCCACGGTGCTGCCCCCACGAAATTGCTACTTTTCGGGAGCTGGTCACAGCATCTCACTCCGTCCACGTCAAGGAGTTACTTGACTAATTAATCCCCTGCTGCTGCTTCGTTCCCTGTCCTCATCCCTCTGCTTAACTGTCTCACCATGGTCCTGACATGGAATAGATGTGGCTTCATCCCCCTCTCCCAACTCCCACCCCCCATCTAGGTGTCCTGATGAGTTTTGAAGAGAGGAGACTCTGGGGGGATGCAGCATGGGGAGGGGGAGGCAGTGGGGTTGGTGTCCCATTGTCCGTGACCTGATGAGCATCTCTGCTCCCCCGCAGTCTGAGGACTCTGACCTGCCGTACCCCCCGCCCCAGCGGGAGCCCAACATTTACATGGTCCCCCAAGGAATCAAACCGGTCCTGCAGCGCACGGCCATTGAGGTGAGTGGTGGGGAGCGCGCGAGGCAGAATATGGACATGCGGAAGAAATCCTTCCTGGAGAGGGTGGTGAGGCACTGGGACACGATGGGGGTGGAACTAGATGGTCTTTAAGGTCCCTTCCAAGCCAAACCATTCTATGATTCTAATATCACCCCTAATTATGTGTCCCTAACTGGGGGGATGAGACCCAGAAATGAGATCCAAGCCAGACTCTGTGGATCCAGAGTCCCGCCGGTGCTGGGAGCTGGTTCTGCGCATGGGTTATTGGTCAAAAAGCATTGTCTTGCTGGGAAAATGAGCCTTACCAAGCAGTCAAGCCCTAGTGCAGAGCACAGCCCTGGACCACACGTGCTTTTTAGAAGGACAGTCTGACTCACAGAGATGCTCCATTAGTAGGTAAGCCGTTCTGGACCCGGTGTATCGGTGCACACAGAGAAATGCTTGCTCTACGACCCAGCTTCTCCCAGCACCAGCCGTACCACATAGCTGACTCAGCTCTCCTTCATGGTGGGCTCCTTCAGGTTTATCTCCATTGCTGAGAAGCTCTGTGAGAGACCCGGCGGCAGACCTTTGGCTAAGTCTTTGCTGTCTGTTCTCCTCACCCTTCAGATCCTGGCCTGGGGGCTGAGGAACCTCAAGAGCTACCAGCTGGCCAGCGTCACCTCGCCCAGCCTGCTGGTAGAGTGCGGAGGCCAGCTCGTGCAGTCCTGTGTCATCAAGAACGTCAAGAAGAACCCCAACTTTGATGTCTGCGTGCTCTTCATGGAAGTGGTGAGGACCTGGCCCCCATCCCACCGTGATGGGGTCATAGAAGAGCTGGTTGGGAAGGATCTGGGGCCCTCAACCTCAGAAGGATATCAACCAGTTGGAGCGAGTCCAGAGGAGGCCATGGAGATGCGCCGAGGGCGGGGGCCCCTCTGCCATGGGAACAGGCTGGGAGAGTTGGGGTGTTCAGCCTGGAGAAGGGAAGGCTCCGGGGAGACCTTATAGCCCCTTCCAGTGCCTGGGTGGGGGTCCAGGAAAGCTGAGGGGGACTTTTTCCAAGGGCAGGGAGTGACAGGACAAGGAGTAATGGGTTTGAACTGAAAGAGGGAGACTGAGATTGGACATCAGGAAGAAGTTCTTCCCGGAGAGGGTGGGGAGGCACGGGGACAGGTTGCCCAGAGAAGTTGTGGATGCCCCATCCCTGGAAGTGTCCAAGGCCAGGCTGGATGAGGCTTGGAGCAACCTGGTCTAGTGGAAGGTGTCCCTGCCCATGGCAGTGGGTGGAACATGGATGGTGTCTAATTTCCCTTCCTTTCAAACCATTTTTTAATTCCATGATCCTATGACCTCTAGAGGTCCCATAAAAATGCATCCTGTGAGGATGCTCATTCTGTCCTGCCCAACTTTGGTTCCCTTTGGGGAGGTACAGAGCAGCCCTGCGTAGTTACGTGTTCCCTCCCCTCTGCTCACAGCGTTTACCCAAGGAGAGCCTGTACAGTCCCCCCATCATCGTCAAAATCATTGACAACAGGCCGTTTGGCCGAAGGCCCGTGGTGGGGCAGTGCACCATCCGCTCGTTGGAGGACTTCTACTGCGACCCCTACCGAGAGGAGACGGATGGTCCCCAGGAGCACTCAGGTACGCGCTGCCAGCGGGACCGTGCTGGTTGCACACCCGTGCCCTTCTCCAGGAGGAGCTGTGGGTCACTGTATACGTTGCTTTTTGCTCAGCCCTGCTGTGGGTCTGATACAGAAGGCCCGGGAGGTGCGAAGGAGGAGCTCTGGGGTGGGTTGTTGAGCTGGGCCATCCCTTGGCCAAGCTGTCCAACCCCTGTGAGCTTTGGCTGGGGTCAAAGCTCTGGGCAAGGTTGAGAGCTCTCCTGGGGCTTGATCCCAAGGTGGCTTGGCTTCGGGATTTCTGACGGCTGGATGTCCTGGTGATGCTCGTGCTTGCTCTGATTGCAGATGATGTGAGCCTCACGCCCAGGGACGACGTCCTCATTGACATCGATGACAAAGAGCCTCTCATTCCTGTCCAGGTATGGAAAACACCACAGCGGTGGGAAGACACTGATTTCTTACTTTACGTGACGTGGGAGAACTTGTGCAGGTACAGGGCTGTGGTGGAGAGCGATGCAGGTCTCTGATGTGGCATTGTGCCTGGTTGTAACCTTCCTTTTGCAGCCTCCCCCGCTGTTTTCACCTCCTCTCCTCCACCCTGCCATAATGAAAACCCACAAACTCATCCTTCTCCCTCATTTTTAATATGAGGTGTCAGATTTGCTTTCCTAGGGGAGAGACCACAGACCCTCTCCATGCCAGTCTCTTCCCCCCAGCATCTCTTCCTCAAACGGATGGTTGTTCTGGGGCTGAAAAGGCCCTTTGGGCTCATCCCTGTGGGATGCTCTCTTGGGAACGACAGTCACTGCCCCAAAGAGGAGGGGACTTACCCCAGCATTGGAGAGGGTGAACCAATGCTGGCAGATGGGACAGTTTGCCCAAGGCCACCCTGGAAGCAAAGGCTCTCCTTACCACAAGGCCAGGTCTCCTTCCCCCCATTTTGCTCTTTGCAGGATGGTTTGCTGCTTCCAAACCCACTTGCTGCTTCCAGCAGCTCTGGTTATTCTGCAGAGGGTCACGGTGGGGACTGTGATTGCAGAATATCCCACAGGGGTGGGAACTGGACATGCCCTGCAGGGTCAGTGAAGGAGGAACGTGTTGGTGCTGCTGCAGGGAGAAAGCTGCTGCGTGCCGTGAGCCTGAGGGGTCTCAGCTGTCCCTTGTACGTGGGCCAGGCTGGGCAATACACCAGGGTTGCTGCTTCTCCTTCCTGAAGCAGAGCAGGAAGGTGTCTGGCCACACTGGTGACAGTGACCCTGCCAGTGCTTGGCATTTCTATGGCTCTTGGGTTTCTTTGCCAGCAGATGTGTCCTCTGAGGCAGAGACCGGTCAGTGCCGGCGTGCGCGTGGGTGATGCACACATCCGTAGGTGACCCTTATTGCTCAGGAGCAAAGTGTTGTCAGGGTTGTTTGGTGGAGCTTTTCCTGCTCTCCCGTTCCCCTTGGTGTATTTAACGTGTGCTGGCAGTTCCTTCCTCCCTCTTTTAAAGGTGGTGGGTGCTGCATGGTGCCTTGGGCTAAAAAAGCCTGACCTTTCTGTAAGAGACCTGCCGCTCAGGTATGCCTCCTGCCTCGCCTTTCACTGCCCTGAAAAGCAAGATACATAATTTGGACATCAATGCTTCTGCTCTGTATTCACCTCCTTGGTAGCACCTCAGGGTTTGTACCCATGACGACTTTATGGCCCATGCCATCAGACACACCGTCTGTGGTCGTGTCCCAGGGTGGGGTCCCAGAATCAGCCTGTCCCTGGACATTCAGAACTGGAGCTGCACCTCTCTCCTCGCTGCATCCCTTGTGATAGGTTGCCTGTTTTAGGTTTGTGCCAGTCCCCCCTGCGCCTGAGCAGGCCGTTGCTTAAGCAAGAGTGCACGTTGCATGCTGCAGCCTCTGCCACGTTCAAGGCTTTCAGGCTCTGGGATAAGGAAAATACCAAGATTTTGTCTGGTGCTCCCCAAAAGCGGTGTGTGTGGGACTGCAGCACGCTCTGGTCTCGGCTCCAGCTCGTGCCTACCTGTCCTAAGCACTGATGAGATCCAGGTTGGTGCTCTCAGGCGAGGTCACCCCGCAGTCCTTGCAATTTTTCGGGTTGCCCACTGGCCAAGAGGTGGGACGTTTGTGTGCTCAGCACCCTGGGATGCTGGCATCTTGTCCTGAGATTCTTCAGTATCGATTAGGAACTGGACAGAGGGGTTGGGAAATACTGGCCCAAGTGAACAAGTGTCATTGGGAGGAAAAAGCACTGCAGACAGAAAACACTACTGACAGCCTAATTGGCTTTCTGTTCTCTCGCCATTTGTGGATTTGTTTTGATAATTTACAATTGTGCTTCATCTTGTAACAGTAAAGTAACTGGAGCATGTCTGCAAAAACCACACCAAAACGAGTCTTGGAACAGGAACCTTCACTTCTGCAAATAAACCCCCTTTGCTAGCCTAGCATAGAAAGCACTTGGGAGAAAAGTGAGGGGGTCAAAGAAAAACGTGGGTAGGAGGGTTGGGGCGCAGGTCTTGACTTCACCCCTGATTAGCTGTCTGATGTCCCTTTGCTGCACCAAGGAAGCTGGTGGCACCCAGCACCTCCACCAAGGCTGTGAGACCCTCTGCAGAGACAGCTGTGGGTGGGGTGGATCTCCAGAAAAGGGACAAAGCACCCAAGGATGTGTTTGTTGTTCCTGTGGTGGTGGTCACAGACCTACTGCGCTCTGGGGAAACCCCATCTGCAATGCCGCATCCAGCTCTGGGACCCCCAACATCCCCAGCTCTGGGACACGGAGCTGTTGGAGCGAGTCCAGAGGAGGCCACGGAGATGCTCCGAGGGCTGGAGCCCCTCTGCCATGGGGACAGGCTGGGAGAGTTGGGGTGTTCAGCCTGGAGAAG